TTTATTTTCGTGCAAATGCTGTCGTTACGGTAAAAGCACTATTTACCTGTACACTTGCTGGTCGCCTTCTATTGAAATCACAATGTGTGATGCGAGGAAAGTGACCAGTAACCTATAATCAAACTGTAGGAAACCAATATTTTTTTGGGTGAGCTTCACGAACCTGCCAATCATCTCCTCGCATAAGATCGTGTATTAAGGCCGGCCCCCAGAGAGTATAAAGCGGAGACTCAAGCAATGAGTTCAGGGCGTAAAACTAAAACAGGGGAACATGTTGTAGTGAACAGCAAATAATCTTCGGACCTGTAACCATGCATTTGAAGATTGTATTATTGTTGATATCGTGTAGTATAGTCCCATATCTCTGCTTCCCTTGCGCCGTGCCAAACGCAGCCCGTCCCAAATGTATGCTGATGCTCGTCCTTCGAAAGCCGCTATTCTGGCTAAAAAGACAGAAATTAGCCAATGAAGTAGAATGAGGAAAAACAAAAACCTGACCTTTGAAGGTAGCATCATTAACTTTGAGGGCAGTCCAGAAGCCATCGACATACTGTATGGCTCCTGCCAGATCATAACCTTGAAAAAGAACCATCGCTTCAGAAAGTAGATATTATTTATTTGCGGTACCCACCACACAAAGCTATAAGTGATTTCCATACAAATCGCGGCAAGTAGAAAAGAAAGGCTTGTACAGCAAGGATGTACGGTACCTAGAATATGGAAAGCTTATTTTTTTGAAGTTGTGTACCCATAACTGTTAGAGTTTTCCAGTAAATTTGGAAGTTTACTAGAAGACAGAGCTCCAAGCTAAGAAAACGATAAGAGCCACGCGCAAAAGTTTGTCGAGATTTTTCCAGATTTCAACCCTGTTGCAGAAAAGCACAATAACCCCATACAATAAGCAGAGTAATGCAAGGCAATGCCAGACGATACCATTAACTGTGGTTTCTTTGAAAAGATTATATGTAACCAGCGATATATCAAACGCTGCAATACTTTATTTTGGACAAAATTCATTTCATGTGGAAAAAAAAGTCGTATGATGATTTTATTGAGAGGTGCTTTGAATAACTCACGCTGCTCAGCCTCACTATAGGTAAATACTGATCATTTTCAAAAAATTTTAGATGCTCACTGACAGCCTTAGTTCATTATGAGAAAAAACCTTTTTACCATATTCCTACAGCAATGGGCTGATCTATTTCAAATTACAGATAGGATAGAATCGCATTGCAGTATCATAACGGAAGTGAAGATGGTAGCTGAGTAAGAAATAATTCAAGATGAAGTAATAAGTAGTAATGAATTGTAATAAAGTAACAAATATAATAATTCAAGGTAACTTAGGATTGAAGAAAAATTCAAAAATAAATAAAATCAAAAATTAAGTTGAGAAGTCTTGTAAATGGAGTATTGATGACATTAAAATCATTCTTCAGATTGTTTCTGAATATTTCAGACTCTTCAACATATCTGTGACTCAGTGGCCGTTCCAGAATTTTTGTTCGGAGAGGGGGGCGGGGAGGGAGACGAGACACAATTTTTTTGAATGAAGATTCGTGGCTTTGGCCAAGAGCTTCGAAAATTTTTCGGAATGTTTTTCAATCTTTTTGTGAGACCACTA